TTTTAAGTTATAGTTTAATAAGCTATTCCATACCTTATGCTGCTTCTCCAAATATCCAGGGGTTGTATTCACTTACTTTCCCTACCAGTTCGCAGATGTGAGCGCATGCCTCAAAAATGTGCCCAAATAGGATGCATAGAGCCAGGGGGCGGGCCCACCTGCAATTTCTGCTACCAGTTCTCCCGAACCGGCTGAATACCACCTCTGCACATATCCCTCCATTAAAATACCAATGCCTTAATACAAATAATAAATCAGTCAATCAAGGTACATCAAGCAAACACTGTTTATGTTTGGTAACACCACTGACCAAGTCTCGTGCTCTTCTGGGCATGGGACAGCTTTGTGCCTCAGCAACACAACTGCAGACACTCAGCAATCATTGCTGAAGCAGCCATATTTTGAATGCCCAGAGTCACCGCAAAGAACTCTCCAAATCCCTGCCATTCTCTTCTCTCTTTCAGGATAGCCACAATCAAAGTTGCTGGAAGTCGGGGTGGCATGCAAATTTGATTCATAAATAGATTTTAAAAATAAAACCAAAAGTCCCATACTGAAGCAACCAGGATCATTATCATCACCACCGGAAAATTACAGTTTGTATTTTTATACGGAGCCAGTTTGGTCTAGTCGTTAAGATACCCGGCTAGAAAGTGGGAGACTGTGAGTTTGATCCTTCTTCTTAGCCATGAAAGCCAGTTGGGTGATCTCGGGCCAGTCATTCTTTCTCAGCCCAATGCACCTTGCAGGGACGTTGTTGTTGTTGTAGGGAAAATAGGAGGAGGACGGTGTATTAAATATGTTTTCCACATATTTGTATTTGTAAAGGCAGGATACAAATAAATAAATACAGTTTGTAGGATTGTCTGCCTGGGTTAAGAGAGTGTTTGCACAATCTACTACATCAACCACTTCTACTTTGTGTACTCATTAAAAGTCCACCTTAGGAGGTAGACCAGACAGGAAACATGAGCAGATTAGCTAATTCTACTTTATTGTAGGGTTACATTAACAGAATTTTGCAAGACTGAAGCACTTCTCTTTCATTCTCTCTCTCTCTCTTTCTCTCTCTCCCTCCTTCTTCTTTGCAGCCCCAAAACTAGGAGGGTCTCCTCTGAGCCTCTTGTCCCACCTACATTCCTACTGCAGCTGCCTTTTATCCGATTGTTTCCTTGGTTGCGTCTCCTTGCCCTGTTTCCCAAGGTCATTCTCACATACCATTGCATTAAGTATGTAGTAATAACAGGGCCAGTTTCAATAAGCCAAACCTGCTTCATCGGCAGCTTGCATATACTGTGGTCTGGTACTGATTTATCTGCAGCACAGAAATAAACACGTTAATGCAAAGCCCCCTCCCACCTTGAGTGGAGGGGCGTTTCAGAGTCATTGCACAACTTCCTGGGAGGCGCAGCAACAAGGGAGCCCCTCTGTTTCACAGATAATGGAATCACTGGTTCCTGACCTCTTCCCCCCCCCCCCGCTTTGGCTAAACAAGGACCCTGCATATTTCTATCTGTATTGTAATACAATGGCAGAAAGCCACTTTGGTCTAGTGCAGTAATGGCTAACCTTTTCCAGACCGAATGCCAAAAGCACGTGCCCGAACCCCCAAAATGCAAAGTGTGTGCGGCCCCCATGCATGCCCCCTGCCCCCCTGTGCATACACGTGCCCCCTGCGTGCCCCCTGCATGCCCCCGCACTTGCACACATGCCCCCCGCACACCCCCAGCCTCTCACGCATGCGCACATGCACCCCGTACCCCGCGCATGCCCCACACATGCCCCCCACCCCTTGTGCATGCACACACACACCGCACATGTCCCCCCGTGCATGTGCGGCAGAGACCCAAAGACCAGCTGGCTAGTGGGAGGCATGCGTACATGAGCGGTGAAACTGAACTGGGGTGACAGCTCGCGTGCCCACAGAAAGGGCGCTGCATGCAACCTCTGGCACACATGCCATAGGTTCACCATCACAGGTCTAGTGGTTGAGGCATCAGGCTAAAAACCAGGAGACTGAGAGTTCTAGTCCCACTTTAGGCATGAAAGCTGGTTGGGCCACTCCTGCTCTTTCAGCCCAGGAGTTTAAGCTGGATGACAAGCTGTTCAATCAATTCCTGTGGCAACCAATGGATCAACTCTGGGTTGACACACACACCCCAAAAAAGCAGACCTTGAACTTTCAGGAAACACCAGGAAGAAAAAAATGTAGTCACATGATATCTGGTGGGTCTCTCCTCATTTGGCCGCCCAAGTGTACCTGATGAAGTCCTAAAACTGGCCCATCTCCTGAACAGCTATGAAAGGAAAGAGGTAAACCCCCAACTGGGTTCAGAAGAAGACTCATTTGGGATCATGGAGAATGAGCCTCCTACAAGAACAGTTGGACTAAAGATTTATTCAGTGCTTTAATGAGCAGATGGGATTTTCCCAGTCTGGAACTCCATTCCTGGCATCCCATGGAGCTTAAAAGAAGCCCCAGAAAGGGTGTGTGAGTTCCAATAAAGGAGAATATTTGTGGGTCAGGGTTGAAATGAGGGGTCCTTGATGCTTACTTGTCATAAGCACTAGACAAAATTTAAGAATAGAATTAGAATAACAGAGTTGGGTCATCTAGTCTAATCCCCTGCTTTCTGAGGTTGGTCGTTCCTTGCAGACGTTCCATTATTACGCAAACTAAGTAACATCATCAGTGCTAGATGGGCAATGAAACGTCTGCTAGAAAATTGCAGACTACAGGGACCATTAAGGAGCCTTGGTGGCGCAGCGGACTAAAGTGCTGTTAAGTAGCACTTAGCTGCCAGCTGCCTGCAATTACTACAAGTTCAAATCTCACCAGGCTCAAGATTGACTCAGCTTTCCATCTTTCTGAGGTGGGTAAAATGAGGACCCGGATTGTGGGAGCAATAAGCTGACTTTGTATAAAAAAGAACACCGCTTAGGGGGGCCCCGAAAGCCCTACCAAGCAGGTATATACAAAAGTATGAAGGCTATTGCTTAACGCATTGTAAGCCGCCCTGAGTCTCCAGAGAAGGGCGGCATATAAATCGAACCAATAAATAGAATAAATAAATTAAGCACTACTCAGGTAACCCTAAAGACACAGATAACCCTCCAAGAGCTTCAACGACCCTCTAAAAGGATGCAAATGACCAGCGGTCTGCAAGGAATATAAATCCTTCCATTCCCCACCATCCAAGTCAGAGCTGAAGAAGCTTCTTGGACGAGAAGCAAAACGTCCTCAAAGAAAAAGAAGAAAAAACCAAGGAAGCACAGTTGCCTCCTGGGAAAAAAAAACACCTTTGGGACACCCATGACCTGGATGACTGAGAATCTGCTGCAACAGATAACCTCCCACCAACCAATACGCTCTCACAGAGTAGGCCTACTCATAGTACCATCATTAAAACAATGTTGTCTAGTAGTTCCAAGGGAGAGAGCCTTCTCTGTGGGGGCACCTACTCTTTGGAACAAAATACCCCCTGGAATACGAATAATCCCAGATCTTCGCACTTTCCGACGTGCCCTGAAGACCTTTCTGTTTCAACAAGCAGGGCTAGCATAAACATCTAAATTCTATGCCAAGGTCTTAGCAGATACACCAAGTTGACTCAATTTATTATTTACTGTTTATAAATATATAAATATAAATATAAATATAAATATAAATATAAATATAAATAAATATGTATGTATGTATGTATGTATGTATGTATGTATATGAAATCTTAATCTGTTCACCGCCCTGAGTCCTTCGGGAGAAGGGCAGTATAGAAATTCAATTATTTATAAATAAATAAATAAATAAATAAATAAATAAATAAATAAATAAATAAATAAATAAATAAATAAATAAAATCTCTACAGACTTTCTGTTCTGCTAGAAAACATGCCAGCTCAGGGAGTGTGAGTTGCACTGGCTAAGCCCACAATCTGCTTAGAGAAGAGCAGGTTCTCCCACCCACCCCCACCCCCATTAAATCTCTGCCCACCCTTCTTCCTTGCAGAGCCGCACAGCCGAAGCGCAAGTCCCCTTCCAGGCTCAACGGGGCAACCCAGTTTTTTTTTCTGCCCGTGGCAGCTGGCAGCCGGGTGGGCAAAGAAGGGCAAAGAGCCGCTGGCAGCTGCCGCTCTTCTGGAGGGAAGGAGGGGGAAGGAGGGAGGGAGCCTTCGCTTCGGATCCTGACAAGTTGCAGCAGCTGCTTTTCTCCTCTCGGCCAGCCGCTGGCCGCTCACACACCCTGGCCTGGGTGGGAGCCGAAGGGCGGTGGGTGGGAAAGCGGGCTGCCCCTCTTTTCCCAACCCCACGTGCCCCTTAGATGCCGGACTACAATGCCCATCACTCGCCGCCGGCAGAACAAGTGTGCCTTTTGGTCCCTTCGGAGTCAGCGGCGATGCTCCAGCTTGGGAAAGCTCTTTCTGGATCAGCGCAGAGATCCCTCTCTCTCTCTCTCTCTCCCCACATCCCGCCGCTGGATCGGACCTCACCTCCCATCATCCCCAGCCAGCCCCTTGGCTCATCGTGGGTTTCTGACCTCGAAAGTTTAAAACGCGTCCGGGAAACGGCGGGAGACCCTGCAGCCCAATTCGGCCGGAGAAGGTGAAGGGGAGCCGCCGCGATCATTTTGAGGCAGGAACCCTCCTTTCCCGGGACGGGGGCTTCTCCTTCCTCCCAGAGGCGGCTCGGGTCTTTGGCGCGCAACTCAAAACTAGTTTTCAAGAATAAAAGGCGACCACGCCGTCCAGCCCTCGCCGGGCTTTTCACCCGCTCCCGAAATTGACAGCCGGGGCAGATTCCAAGCGAGGGCGCGGAGGGGGCCCGGCCAGGACCGCCCTCCCTCCCTTCGCCACCCAGGGGGGCTCCAGTCATCCCAGTCCCAACCGGGCGCAGGGAGGGAGGGAGGGACGGAGGCAAACGACTCGGGGCCAGCCAGCCCAGCGCTCCGACGCCCCGACCCGTCGCAGCCGCTTCTCCCAGCCCGAGCGGTCCCAAGGCTTACCGAGGCGTCCTCGCCTCCCGTGTCCCGACTCCTTCGCAGAGCCCCGGGCGGCCTCTTTCTCTCTCTCTCTCTCACCTGCTCCACACAGCCGGGGTGCGGGGCGGGGGTTGTGTGTGTGTGGGGGGTGTGGAACCCGGAGATTGGCGCCTTCCAAGCCGGGATAAAGCCGCGAGACCCCCCCGTCAGTTTGGCCGCACGGCGCGCGCGCGCCCCTCCTCGGGAGGGCAAGGCTCTGTGGCGGCCGCCCAGCCTTCCTCCTCCTCCTCCTCCTCCTCCTCTTCCTCCCGAGCGAAAGGTGGGCGAGGTGAAAGGGCAGCGCCGAGTTCCTCCGCCCTCCTCCCCACCTCTCGCACTTCGCTTCGTTTTTCCCCCGCAGCCGATCCGGCGCTCGCCCGCTCGCTCGCCTTCCCTCCGGCGTTCATTCAAGGCGAGAGCGGCCCGCCTGCCCCAGCGAAGAGGGGGCGGGGACGTCGCCGGGCGCTCGCCGAGGCGGGAGGCGGACGGGGGGGAGGGGGGGGAGAGAAGTAGAGAAGAGTCCTCATTGGTGGGGCGGAGAAACCCTCTTTGAGTGACACGCCGGAGCGAGGCTTCAGCCCACCCACTCACCCACTCCGGCCGCGCCGGACACTCGCGCGGTTCCATCTCTCGAGTGAAGAGAGGGATGAGCGGCTGCGGCCGGCGCTTCATTCCAGGCTGAGCGTAGAATGAGATTCTACGTTCAGCCTGGAATGACTATCTACTAAGTAGTCCCTTCCGACTATCTACTCTTGATAGTCGGAAGGGACCTCGGAGGTCATCTAGTCCGACCGCCCTGCTCGAGCAAGGAGACCCCCTTCTTCTACCGTGGCAGACAAGCGGCGGGGCGGTCTCGTCTTGAATAAGGCGCTCCCTCGTTTTAAAGAAGACGACTGGGCAGCCGTCGCTGGTCTTGAGACGGTAGAGGGAGGGTTCTCCTCAGTGGTGATATCCAAATTTCTTTACTATCGGTTCTGTGGGCGTGACTTGGTGGGCGTGGCAGGGGAAGGATACTGCAAAATCCCCATTCCCTCCCCACTCCTACTCCTGGGGGAAGGATACCTGCAAAATCCCCATTCCCTCCCCACTCCTACTCCTGGGGGAAGGATACAGCAAAATCCCCATTCCCTCCCCACTCCTACTCCTGGGGGAAGGATACTGCAAAATCCCCATTCCCTCCCCACTCCTACTCCTGGGGGAAGGATACAGCAAAATCCCCATTCCCTCCCCACTCCTACTCCTGGGGGAAGGATACTGCAAAATCCCCCATTCCCTCCCCACTCCTACTCCTGGGGGAAGGATACTGCAAAATCCCCATTCCCTCCCCACTCCTACTCCTGGGGGAAGGATACTGCAAAATCCCCATTCCCTCCCCACTCCTACTCCTGGGGGAAGGATACTGCAAAATCCCCATTCCCTCCCCACTCCTACTCCTGGGGGAAGGATACAGCAAAATCCCCCATTCCCCCCCCACTCCTACTCCTGGGGGAAGGATACTGCAAAATCCCCATTCCCTCCCCAGTCCTACTCCTGGGGGAAGGATACAGCAAAATCCCCATTCCCTCCCCACTCCTACTCCTGGGGGAAGGATACAGCAAAATCCCCCATTCCTCCCCACTCCTACTCCTGGGGGAAGGATACTGCAAAATCCCCATTCCCTCCCCACTCCTACTCCTGGGGAAGGATACAGCAAAATCCCATTCCCTCCCCCACTCCTACTCCTGGGGGAAGGATACTGCAAAATCCCCCATTCCCTCCCCACTCCTACTCCTGGGGAAGGATACTGCAAAATCCCCATTCCCTCCCCACTCCTACTCCTGGGGGAAGGATACAGCAAAATCCCCATTCCCTCCCCACTCAACTCCTGGGGGAAGGATACTGCAAAATCCCCCATTCCCTCCCCACTCCTACTCCTGGGGAAGGATACTGCAAAATCCCCATTCCCTCCCCACTCCTACTCCTGGGGGAAGGATACAGCAAAATCCCCATTCCCACCCCACTCCTGGGGGAAGGATACAGCAAAATCCCCCATTCCCTCCCCACTCCTACTCCTGGGGAAGGATACTGCAAAATCCCCATTCCCACCCCACTCCTACTCCTGGGGGAAGGATACAGCAAAATCCCCCATTCCCTCCCCACTCCTACTCCTGGGAAGGATACTGCAAAATCCCATTCCCTCCCCACTCCTACTCCTGGGGGAAGATACAGCAAAATCCCCTTCCCTCCCCACTCCTACTCCTGGGGGAAGGATACTGCAAAATCCCCATTCCCTCCCAGTCCTACTCCTGGGGGAAGGATACAGCAAAATCCCCATTCCCTCCCCACTCCTACTCCTGGGGGAAGGATACTGCAAAATCCCCATTCCTCCCACTCCTGAGGAAGGATACAGCAAAATCCCCCATCCCTCCCCACTCTGGGGTCATATTTGAGAGTCATATTTGCTGGTTCTCCAAACTACTCAAATTTCTGCTACCGGTTCTCCAGAACCTGTCAGAACCTGCTGGACTTCACCCCTGGTTCTCCTGCTCGATAAGGGGGCTGGACTAGAAACCTCCAAGGTCCCTTTCAGCAGCTCTAATCTAGTCTAAATTAAGCCTCCGCGATGAGCTGCGGCCGCAACTTCTTGAAGGCGAGAGAGGTGAAAATCTGGACTGCGAAAAGAAAAAAAAAAAGAGTGATTGCCGCAAACGGAAAAGATGGCAAGAGGAACACACTGGGGATCTCCTTGCCCCCCCCTCGCCTCCCCGCAGCAAACCCTTCTTTTTAGGGGCCTGGAAATAATATTTGTGTGTGAGAAAGTGGTGGATCTGGGAGGGGAGGGAAAAAAGGCTGCTAAGAAGTGGGTGCAACGGAGCGAAGAGCTGAAGGCTTTCAATCCATTCTTTAGCACAGGGGTCTCCAACCCTGGCAACTTTAAGCCTGGCGGACTTCAACTCCCAGAATTCCCCAGCCAGCAAAGCTGGCTGGGGAATTCTGGGAGTTGAAATCCGCCAGGCTTAAAGTTGCCAAGGTTGGAGACCCCTTAGCATGCGAGAGAGAAGCCACTGTCCCCATTTTCCAAGATCACTGGTTGCTCTGCTCGCGGCCAAGCTGTCGGACTCACCACCGCAGTTGCGGGGCGGTAGTTCGCTAAGCGAGCAGTCCAGATCCTGATTTGTGGTCATTGCTTTTTTGTTCCCTCTGCCATCCCTCTGGTAAACTTGCAAGATTCGTGTTTTTTCTGGCCATGTGACATGTATACCTCCTAAGGTGTGTTGTTTCTCCGTATCCTATAATCAGAGGTGGGTTTCAGCAGGTTCTGACCAATTCTGGAGAACCGGTAGTGGAAATTTTGAGTAGTTCGGAGAACCAGTAGTAATAATTCTGACTGGTCCCGCCCCCATCTATTCTCTGCCTCCCAAGTCCCAGCTGATCGGGAGGAAATGGGGATTTTGCAGTATCCTTCCCCTGGAGTGAGGTGGGAATGGAGATTTTACAGTATCCTTCCCTTGCCACGCCCACCAAGCCACACCCACCAAGCCATGCCACACCCACCACAGAACTGGTAGTAAAAAAATTTGAAACCCACCACTGCGTATAATATATGTGGGTACATGGGTAAAGGCATATTTTTTTATTTATTTATTTCTGCTTTTGTCATGTTTATGTATAGTGTATATTGGAGGTGGAACCGTTTGAGAGCAGCATGCAGTGAAATTTCATGGGAGGCTTTTTTCAAAAAACTTTTAATAGCATTTTTTTGGCCGAGAGAAAATGCTATTAAAAGTAAAAAAAAAAAGCCTCTGATGATCGCGCAGCTCTGTGGGGTGGGGGGGAGGGGTGCAAGGATTTTTGCTACCGATTCTCCGAACTACCCCCACCATCACTACCGGATCGGGCGATCCGGTCCAAACCAGGAGCATTTCACTCCTGTCCAGGCCACCTAGGGATGGATGCCTCACCCCTTAAACATGTTTTGCAATTATTTGATGACCATAGTTAAGCAAATGATGGCTGAATGTGATAGGTGAGCCCTCTCATTGTGGCACATTCAGGACACTTTCTGTGGGAAGGTTTGAGTGCCACACCCACCACAGAACTGGTAGTAAAAAAATTTGAAACCCACCACTGCGTATAATATATGTGGGTACATGGGTAAAGGCATATTTTTTTATTTATTTATTTCTGCTTTTGTCATGTTTATGTATAGTGTATATTGGAGGTGGAACCGTTTGAGAGCAGCATGCAGTGAAATTTCATGGGAGGCTTTTTTCAAAAAACTTTTAAAAGCATTTTTTTGGCCGAAGAAAAAATGCTATTAAAAGTAAAAAAAAAAAAAAAGCCTCTGATGATCGCGCAACTCAGTTGGGTGGGAGAGGAGGGGTGCAGGGGATTTTTGCTACCGGTTCTCCGAACCACCCGCCACCATCGCTACCGGATCAGGCGATCCGGTCCAAACCAGGAGCATTTCACTCCTGTCCAGGCCACCTAGGGATGGATGCCTCACCCCTTAAACATGTTTTGCAATTATTTGATGACCATAGTTAAGCAAATGATGGCTGAATGTGATAGGTGAGCCCTCTCATTGTGGCACATTCAGGACACTTTCTGTGGGAAGGTTTGAGGGACATCTTCTTGACATACTCAGCAGAAATCAAGTAGGAAAACCTGTCCTAGATTGGGCCCCTCCAAATGACAGGAAGTGTTCTACATATTCCATTATTATTTTTTAAAGAAAAACTCCCTGCACGTTAAAAAAACAGCATGTCTAAAAAGCTGTTGGGCCAGCTTAGGCTGCCTGGCACACCATTTCACTGGAGGCAAGGTGGAGAACATTAGAAAGGTCTACATTCTCGACAGCAACATGGAGAAAATGGCAATGGAATGCTTCATTCCTTGGATACACAAACTTTAACTTTAGTCTACTTTGTTTTGCTTCGTTTGCTCCCAGGTTGGGAATTGTGATATTACTCAACCCTGTCCTTCACAGCTCAGGCTTTCTTTCTGTCCATCAAGGGAAGGACTATAAACCACTGCTACTGTTCTGTCGCCTCCCACGAGTGGCCTTGCAGAGGCTCAAATAGCCCGGCAGTAACAAACGCAGGC